GAACTACACTGCAAAAACTGTCCATCTTACCAAGTTTTAAAATCTTATATCCAACCAAAAAGTCTTTTTGGTCTTGTTTTGGGACTGATTTCAGACTAACAAGACAAATAATCTAACACATTCTGAAAACAAGATTATTATTCTTACACAATCAGTTCTTGTTTAGTAAATCAGTCTCAAAACAAGATGAAAAAGACTTTTTGGCTGATATAAGATTTTAAAACTTGGTAATATGGACAGTTTTTGCAGTGCAGGAAGCAGTAAACGTCATGGTGCAAGTCTCACCAGGGTCCTGTGAAGCCAGGCAGGCAGGAACATGTGTGGTCTGCTTCGGAGCAGTTTCCTCCATTAAAGCAGCTGTAGTTCCATCTTGTACCCATGCATGAAGACACGGGCAGCTGAGGGAGTCTGGACAAACAGAAAAATAACATCAGTTCCCTCCTATTTATAGCTGCAGAAATGGGATTATTTTATAAGTCAGCACACTCACGGATCTGTCTCTATGTACCAGGGAATTTCAGGAATTTTCTCACTGTAAGAGACAAATCATTACAACTTTTAAAAAACTGTTGTTATTTTAGCGCGTCTTATATCGATGTTGAACCTTACTCGCAGTAATGGCCCGTCATGTTCCGGGGGCAGAGACACGTGTAGCTCTGAAACCATTTGAGGCACGTGGCTCCATTACTGCAGCCGCTGTTTTCGCACGTATCGACTTCTACCTCGCACTGTTCACCAGTGAAGCCCAGCTCACACTCGCACCTGAAACCCTTGGGGTGATTGGTGCAGTTGCCGTAGATGCAGGGACTGGAGCTGCACGAGTCTGTTGGTTCTTGACATAACGACCCGGTCCACTCCGGAGAACACTTGCACCGGTGCAGGTCGAACAGGTCCTCACAGGTCCCCTGGTTTTGGCATGGGTTGGGCGCACATACGCCAGCTCCCCAGCAGCCATACCGCAGAGGAGCACCTCCGCTCATCTCCATCACAAACTGCTCCTCCTGTGGTCTGGGGAGGTTCAGCTCCGTGTCCAGGTAGAATGGTAAAAGAAGACCTCCAATCTCTACTCGGCCCAGACAGCCAGACAGGCTCGCCCCAGATTCCTGGTTTAGACCTCCCAAGAAAATATCTGCCCCATCTCTGAGGAAGTTAAAGTCCTCCACTGCTGTTTCAGAAATGCTTCTGTTCTCTTTGCCTCCGTCTACACGAACAACCCACCTTGAGGTTTGATTTTCTCTGCTGATTTCCACAGTATGCCACTCACCATCACTGAGCAGACCAAGACTTTGAGTCGTCACTTTGGGAGGGTCCACGTCAGCTCCGGCTCTGAGCTCCATGACCAGATGAGAGTTCAGGAGGGAGATGGTGAGGTGGTTGGTCTCTTTCTGTGCGTGAAGCAAAGTGGCTGCTGACTGTCTGCTGCGGAAGCTGAGGGAGACACTGGTGAGGCTTTGTTTAATCTTTCCGTTACTGCGGTACTGCAGGACACTGCTCTCAGGCCGAAGTGTCACATTGAACAAACCTGAAGTAAAGAAAAAGTATCTGTTGATGAAAGTTATCTAAGTTTAAAACATCATCTGTTCTTTATAAACTTTATAGCTTGTTGTAACCAAACAGTCTTCATATTTTAGTCTGGTACCATGGTTCTCAAACTGTGGTACCAATGGTGTTATTCAGAAGAAARACTGGTACTGATCACAAGTTAACAGACTTATTACCCATCTAATACTGACTGATGATGTAAAGGCCCAAGCAATGAGTTTATCAAAKYGTTRATTTTTGGGTCCCAATGAAAACATCTTGAAACAGAACTGTAGTACAAAATATTTGGAGTACCCCTGTGGAAACAYATGATGATCAACCGATGGGTGAKTATTTGCCACTTTGCAATTACCGCAATTAGTGTCATCATGTGATGATGTTTTTTTGACACACTATCTCTATCAGGTGCACATGTAAGCCCAATGGATTATTTATTTCCTGGATACCTCCATCTTTGCCCTAGCACAAAGCATCATGGTCCAGTTTGGGGGCATCTAGTGCCGCTTTAACTGAATGACGGTGAAAAAAATAAATCTAACTKCAAAAACAAACTTTGCATATCAAATACAGTTGTTGGTGTTTGGTGTTAAAAAAAACATAACTTACATTTTAAAAAAGTTATAAAAAAGTCTAATTCCTAAATGGCTTGTAGAACTTTGTGAGACAGTGCAGCAGCAGTAAACAGGCTCTGGTGTAAACATTGCCTCATTTCTTTATGAATGAAAAATACACCCTGCAGGCTCCTCCCACCTCAAGAAAAGTGGGTGGAGCTTGGCATGCATTACAAAGACTTCTTGTGAACCAAGCTGTTTTATTTTTGACACAATATTAGGCCAATCTCTCTCTSACTCAGCCAAACTCACCTGCGGAATTCCACAGGGTTCCATCCTGGGCCCAATTCTATTCCCTGCTCTACATTCGCCCCCTGACTGAGGTCATCAAAAAATTCCCAGATGTCTCCTACCACTTATATGCAGATGACCTGCAGTTATACTGCTCCTTTAATGACTCCACCACCCACAAGCTCACCTCTCTTTTAAAATGTGTCACTAAAGTCAACCAGTGGGTGTCTGACAACTGCTTTTAAACCTCAGCAAGACAGAGACACTGATCCTGGCCCCTGAAAATAAAATCCCTAAGATAAAAGAACATCTCGGCTCTTTGAGTTCAACTGTCCAGCAGAATGTGAACAACCTGGGAGTAAATCTAGACTCAGATCTGTCTCTAGATAAACACATAAAGAACCTGGTTTCCACTTGCTACTTTCAGCTTCAGAATATCTCTAAACTCCGGCCCCTGCTGTCCACTTCAGACTTGGATCATTCATGCCTTCATTTCCAGCCGCTTAGACTATTGTAATAGCGTGTTCACCTGCCTAAACCAGAAACAGTTAAATCGTCTTCAGCTTGTCCAAAACTCAGCAGCAAGACTCCMAACTCGAACCTCTAAATTCACCCACARCTCCCCGATCCTAGCAGAACTTCACTGGCTTCCGGTTCAATTCAGAATCCGGTTCAAAATCCTTGWCCTCACRTTCAGAGCTCTTCATGGCCAAGCACCCGAATACATTAAAAYTCTCATTTCCCCTTACAACCCCAGACGYGACCTCCACTCACAGGATCAACATCTCCTTATGGTTCCCCTCACTCGCTTTAAGACCCGTGGTGACCGTGCCTTCTCCTCTGTGGCCCCCAGGCTCTGGAATGAACTCCCTGTTGATCTACGCTCCCTTGACAACATCGTCTCTTTCAAGACACACCTAAAAACTCACGTTTTCACTCAAGCGTTTAGATAACCATTTTCACAATTAATGCAAGCATACCTCCATTGTAAATGCTCGCCAATCTATGTTTTTATTACTGAACTTACGCCATATTTTTCTCTCCCGCATTCATTATGTTTTGTGTATTATTGTATATTTTGCCCTGCATTGACCTTATATTTGAGTTACAGTTTTAGAAATTAATCTTGATTTGATGTTTCAATTTTCGTTGCTTATGTTTATTTATGTTTTCTGTTTCATTTTATTTTTCCACCATTGTTATACTGTTAATGATTGTACAGCACCTTGTGAATATATTTCTGTGAAAGGTGCTTTATAAATAAAACTTTACTTACTTACTTACACTAAGGAACTGCTTTTGGCTTTTATTATGGACTGGTTACTACTTAGATCCCTGCTTGTGAACATGTGACCTCTCTGGGGGAAGCCTGTTATCATAAACTACCACAGGCATGTGCTACTAGATGTAATCTGACCAGGGATTAACTGGTCTAAGAGGAATCCTGTAACTGTAAACTGTAATTAACCTCTGCCCTCTTTCAAGAGCTCTCAGGTCAGGGAATAAAAACTCAGGCTGTGCACAGCGTGCTGGGTTTAGAAAAAGGTAAATAAAACTGGAATAAGACAATAGTTTCACACGTACACTCAAATCCTTGTGAGAGGGTCTGGCAGATGGCGGCGGCGGGGCAGGGGGACAGCTCACACCATCGGACCTTTTCACACCGCCGCCCTGCAGTGTTGGGGGGGCAGCTACAGATGAAATCGTCCCACACGGAGTAACACTGCCCCCCGTTCAGACAAGGACCGACCTGAGGGTGAAAAACCATGAGAGCTCAGACTGCAGTTGGTTTATGTTAGACCAAGTGAAGTGTTTTAACTGACCTCGCAGGTATTCTCACCGCTGCAGCCTTCAGTAACGTTTATGATCTGCACCAGATCATAAGACTCCACTGGAGTTAGGATTGGATAAAACTGAAGCCGTTTGTTATTAATCCTCYGATCCTGGACACATCCTTTAAAGTAGCCTCCAAATGAAGCAGAGGCCCTTGAGTCTGGTAGCCCCCCAACAAAAACCACATCTCCTGGATGGGCTTGGATTCGCCTGATGGCCATGAGACCCTGGCTTTGAGCCGAGTGGAACAAGCTGGCCGTCTCTCTGTCCAGCCTCACAGTAATTAAGTGGAAATGCCCATCGCTGACCACATTCTGACCAACGAGAGTCTCAAAGCTGTTGACCTGAATTTTGACCTTGCCTTGCTCCAGCCACAGGCGAAGGTACTGGCTGGTGCCGTTGGCCAGGATGAGCAGCAGGCCTCTGGACTGTCTGGTGCGGATGAACATGGAGACGGTCACAGTGTCAGTGGGGTCGTCGCCTAACGAGAACACGGCGTAGCTCTGGAGGTCTCCGTTTCCAAACCTGGCAGTGATGAACTCTGTGAGGTGGAGAACAGAGAAACCCATAAATAAAGTCTCGCTGGATACCGGGAGTTTTGAACAGTTAGATTGTGTTTACAATATGCTACAGAAAGTCAAGACAAACAGTGTGATGTATCCAACACTGTGGGAGGAGAAGCAACTCAGAACTTGTGATAAATGGTGACATTAATTAATTTATTTWTTTTCRYTTATTTAACCAGATAAATCCCATTGAGATCTCAGATCTCTTTWTCAAGGGTGGCCTGGGCTTGAAGGCAACCTATGGTACATGTTTTTGGGGGTGGGGGAAACCGGTAGCCAGGCCCTTGCCTTCCTACGCAGCTCCGCTCAATTCTAGTTTCCTTCACTTCTCCGTCTGGCATTTCTCCCATAGACAAGGATTTCACTGGCAGATTTTTGACCGAACCAATCAGAGAACAGAACGTCAATTTTCTGTGCAGTGTCTGCTTGTAGTTTATTTCTCCTGGGCCAATCAACAAACAGAAGGTGGAGTTTTGAATGACGTTGATTTTCTGCGCAGTGTCTGCTAGTTAGTTAGCAATGGCAGTGGAGGAAGTGAATGAAGCCAGTCTGTGTTGATAAGGCTTCTAAATTAAATTAAATTTTTCTGACAAAGCAGCAGCTCTCATTTAGTCGTCTTGTTCAGCTCGGTATATTTCTCCTCTCAATAGGGTTGTTTACAGCACACGCGATTTCCGGTTAVCTTCTTAGCTTAGCCTCCGTCACAGCGACAACACACACACACACACACACACACACACACACACACACACTTCAACAGAGGCCACGCCTCCAGCAAGAATCACTTCTCAATAGCAGTGAGTCCAGACCCTCTGTAGGAAGCAAAATGAAGGACAAGGGTCTGGTTTTTACCAGGCTAGGAAACCGGAGTACCCGGAGAAAACCCACGCAAGCATGAGGGGAACAGGCAAACTCTGCACCGAAAGACCCCAGGTCTGAATCGGGGATTGAACCCAGGACCTTCTTGCTGTGAGGCATTGGTGCTAACCACTGAGCTGTGGCCAAATGATAAGAGAGCTTAATGCTTCTGTGTTGGGACCATTAAAATGCTATCATAGTAAGTTAATCAAACTCTAAAGCCCAGAGGTGTAACTTTAGGTCCACCATTGGGGTGGGGCACCAAATCCCTGCATGTGTAATTCAGCGATTATGCTTAAAAAACGTATCATATTTTTTTAATCAGGTCAAAATTACAGTTCCTAAAGACAAGAGAGTTGCATCTGTCTATTTAACCAGTTGATTATGACCCCCGCACACGAAGCGTAGGAAATAAATGGAGAGCGAGGGACGTCACCTCCCATGTGTCGAGCCCTTAAAGCTGCTGTATGTAGTTTTTTGGAAACCCAAAAACTTAGAAAATTTTTGAACAGAAACAACCTTGTAGTCCCTCCCCCTGCTCTCAGCTCCCCTTCCTAGGCTCCTCCCCCACAGCAGGGCCCAGATACGGGAACGCGCACGGTTGTAAACAAGAGGTGATCTCACCGTAACACACAGAGCTCAGAGCTAAGCGCTTTAACAGGTAAGAACAAAACATCAACAATATATTTTTAACTATCATGWVTTGCCCATACTTTATCTACACAAGTGCTCCTTTTGTCATAACGTTACATGTAAATTATGTTGCACTCTTTCTATAAGTTATAAATAGCTATCAAGCTAACACAACACCGAAGCTGCGCAGTGGTTCTGAATTCCGGTCCTCATGACCCACTATCCTGCATGTTTTAGCTGTTTCCCTGCTTTGGAACACGATTTAAATGAATGAGTGATTGACAGGCTTCTGCAGAACTTAAAGACCTGCTGAAGAGCAGGGAAACATCTAAAACATGCAGGATAGTGGGTCATGAAGACCAGAATTCAGAACCATGTTAGGAGTTCAGCAAAATGACAAGCCTGTGTATTAGTATTTTTCAGCTCTTGCTTTGCACTGTGTGATATCTTATCTTTATGCTATGCAGCTAGTTTTTGACAATCATCATCTACCAGCTGATGGAGAGAAGCTGTGGTGAAGAATCACGCAGGTCACTGGGAGACGCAGCAGCGTGGGTTCAGCTCCTGAGAACCTGGACAGGTTCTGGTAGGGTTGAGATGCAGGACATCTGCATCTCAACCTACTTTCCACTCATCAAACCATATATTCTGCAGGCAGGAGTCT